CTTTTGCTAGTAGTGTTGACAGGGCTTTCGCAAAAAATGTATCCAACACAAATAAACGAGTCTAATGCACCCCTCCTGTTCCGGCACGTTCACTTGATGGTTCTGATTGATGTTTTAAAATGAATGAGAAGGAGGTGACAAAATACAGGCCAATGGGTGGCAAGTAGGTAAATCCGGCCGTGGACTTCAAACCGTGCAAAATGAATTTTTAGGGCATTCGCCAGACTTTATCATAATCATCCATGAAGTATAGTTATCCGAGAAATTTATGATAATTGTCAACCCTTGCGGTTTACCATGCGGATAATAATTTGTGGCGCTTCCTCTAATGAAAATAACGTCGGAATGAAAGCAAAAACTTTCTTGTCATGTATTGCAATTAATTGAGGCAGTTCAGTAAGGCCGGCAATCGTTTTTCAAACGATATCTGTTCCTTTTTTTCTTTTAAAGGGATTCTAGAAAAACTCGATTACATCAAGGCTATAGGAGTTGATACCATGTGGATTCAGCCATTTTACAAATCACCGATGGTTGACACGGGGTACGATGTCTCAGATTATATCTCTGTGGACCCAAGTTACGGCAGTATGGAAGATTTCAAACGACTACTCAAAGCAACAAAAGAAAAAGGTAAAGTACCCCAATTGGCAAACCCAGCTTTACACTGGGTTAAGGTAGAGTAGAACCTTCTAGTCCAGGCGCCTGGTAAGTCTACCTGGAATTTCGGATACACTGCGATTTTTTTGGCTTACTTTATGTCTTTTGGGTCGCTAAATCCGAATCTGAAGTTTCCTACCGCATATCTGGTGAGCATTTTCCGCCATTTTGAAAAAATGGCCTAAAAAGGCCTTTTTTAAGTTTTTTTATATATCGGCTACGCATGAGAAAACGTCTCGGATTTAGTTAATGTTTTAGCCATGTTAATGTAAAAGCCAGGATTGTATTTCGCAAATGGATAATTTTTGCAGAATAAGTAAAAATTAGGAAGCAGGAGTAATTTAAATAAATAATAAAGGGAACTCAAATCAACAATATAATGCAAAACAATTTGGAAAATCTCGTCATGTAAATACAGAAGATTCGAAAACGCCTTCAATTGAGGCGTGATACCTCACGCGTTCCGGAGAGTTCAAATAGTTGTATCCCTGCGCCTTAGAAAGTCGATGGCAGCTTACTATTGAAGTAGCGTCCCCGCTTGGGTTGTCGGTTTTCCTGTGCCGCCACTGCAGTTTCGATCGATAAGGCCGTAGTTTAAGGGCGCTAAAGCCAGGATTGTATTTCGCCAAGGCGATGGAAGCTTAATATTGAAGTAGCGACCCCTGCGACCCCGCTTGGATTTTTGGTTTTCCTGTGCCGCTATAGTCCAGGCGCCTGGTAAGTCTACCTGGAATTTCGGGTACACTTGAATTTCGGGATTCAGCGACCCAAAAAACACAAAGTAAGCCAAAAAAATCGCTGTGTAACCAACATTCCAGGTAGCCTCATTTTTAGCTATACCAGGTGCCTGGACTATTCTCAGGGTTTTCAATTAAATGACTGGTAGCTAGTTATTTTCGCTGTTTCAATTATAAATTTTTAATTAGATTAATAATTTTAGTTTCTTTACTCTCAGTTTACTTTTATTTACAGATATTCTTTTTTGTTATGATTGGTGGTTACAGCTATTGTCACTGAATCCTAAAAAAAAAAAAAAAAAAANAAAAAAAAAAAAAAAAAAAAAAAAAAAAAAAAAAAAAAAAAAAAAAAAAAAAAATCATCAGTGATTATTCATCGTTTTTAAGGAATTCCACGAATCAAGAGGAACAAGTCTTACCAGCTTTACTAAAACTGAAAAACAACCCAATTTAATTTTTTTCCGCACGGTTTTTATTTTTGTTCCTGAAATAGGAATGAAACTGATTGTAGACTTCGTTCCCAATCACACTAGTGACCAACACGAGTGGTTTAAACTTTCCGAACAACGCATTGAACCTTACACTGACTTCTACGTCTGGCACGATGGGAGGAAAGTGAACGACAGTTATTCGATGGTTCCAAACAACTGGGTAAGTACTTACATCCTTGAAAACGCAATAAATTGATTCAGATTTTAAGCGCTCAGCCGATAGGCAGCGCTTTTTGATTTTGACTTGCCTCTAGAGTACTAGTATACTAGTGCTAATTCGTTTAAATGGCACACCAGCTCATCGATGTGTAGGTTTTTTAGGGGGTTCCAGTTTTAAAATAAATAAAGCTGTGAAAACCGTATTTTATGCTTTTAACGTAATGCGCGGGTAGTTTCGATCGTTTGTCTATAAGAAAATTCCTTAGCGGTAGAGTAATTCTTATCGAAATTGATCGATGAAAATAAATGAAGCCTAAAAAAAACGCGCCTGATGAGCTCAACGGTGACTATCATTTTCGGGAAACGAAAAAACGTGTTTACGGTTTCCTTGGTAACCTTTCTTTGCTATCAGCTGATGTTTTATTTCCATTTCCCAGCCAAGTGGACGGAGTTTATACTTCCTTTCTTCACTAAATACATTGACTAACACCTGAGCGCTTTTCTAATACGACAGTGTTAGAACTTTCCCGCTTGTTTTAATTTTAATTTTATTTTAAGCCGTCCCCAAATCAGCACAGCCAAACGTCACGTATCCTTGAATGAATAATTTCTGACGAGCTACTGGATCGATAAGGATGATCTCTACGTGTATTGTGTCTGCATGAGCAGTGGTGTATGCAGGATAAGGTTCGGAGGGGGGGGGGCCTCTCACGGGGAGGTATGGAATAGACCCCACACTGAAAAAAAAAAGTAGCTTGGATCAAGCATGATGATTCTTGAATTTGCCGCCAAAAATTTTTTTTCTTGCTTCAAGCTGACTTTTTCTTGATACTAGAAAAATAATGCTTGCGGGTTAAGCAAGAAAGTAGCTTATATTAACCAGAAAAAGTCTTGATTTAAGAATAAATACATCTTGGCGGCAAAAAGATTCTTTTTTTTTTCAAGTGCAGGTGCAGCGGGATCCGGGACAATTTTCAGGATTTTAACCCCGTAAAACTCCATGTTTTAACAATTTCAGTCATGAAAAGTGATAAGAAGCTCTCCACTGTTTTTCGCCTACAAGACCTTAAAAAAATAGAAAACGGTTTAAACAAGACCAAATGGGTTGTTTTGATTTAAGTATGAGATGGAAAAAATCCCACTAACTTCCTGAAGAGAAAATGAGGCTTCTGAGGCGACGCTCAAGGCCGTTTCGTCCGACTTCGAATCCTTCCACTCGTTTCTCTAGAATAAAAGATCGTCTTGTTCTATCTCTACCCACTTTTCCATCCTCTCTCTTAATTTCTCTTATTTTTTCTCTCTCAAGTTGTGGTGAAAAATGCCCCCAATTAGTGCTGTAAAAGTATGGACTCTACCGGTGCTATTTGAAAAATTTCAGATTGATGTTGTGCATGGTTCATCAGCTTGGACATGGAGCGAAAAAAGGAGACAATACTATTATCATCAGTTTGTGCGGCAGCAACCAGATTTGAATCTTCGAAATCCTCAAGTTGTAAAGGAACTCGAGGTAAGTTTTTCTGGTCTTTGTTCAGTGAAAAATAGTAAGCTTGAATTAGGGATAATCTAATAGGCAGTAGTATGAAACGGCCTAACTCGATTAGTATGCATTGCATATTTATACGTTGGTACGTCTTTGATTTCGTTTTATGTAGAGTGTATAACCAGGCCCGATATCTACACTGTTCAATGAGATTTGTGCAGAATCTAAAGTCCGTAGTGTTCTTTCTTCCTTTTTTTTTTGGTGATAAAAAATTTAGGTTATTTTGGAATGAAATGAGTGATAATTTAGCAGAACAGTCTCGATAGAATTATTGTTTTATCACTATAGAGTTGTACCTAATTATTTGAATTTATTCACAGCTATTTTAAAAATGAATGAATGGAATGAGATGAGTAAAACTTTAGCAAATCAGTCAGACAGCAGGCGTAACGCATAACACATGTCTAAGGCGCGAAGCGCTTCGGGGGTAGGACCGTAGAAAGCGGTCAAAGGGCGTACCCCATGGTATAAATTGATGTAAAAAAATAATGAAATGAAATTATCACACTTTGGATCCAGAATGATGTAATTTAATGTTGAAATGTATACTTAGGTAGTGGCAAAAAGCAATATAGTTATACTTTCTGAGCTTCATCCTAAACTTTTTGATCCAGAATGTTCTGAAATTTTGGTTGGATTTGGGTGTTGATGGATTCCGCGTGGACGCAGCCAGGCATTTATACGAAGCGACGCATCTCAAGGATGAGAAGCTTGTAAGAAGTGGACCGTACAATTGGATCGAACACGAGTATACTCACGAGCAACCTGAGAATTTCGAGCTCTTTCAGTCATGGAGGACCCTCTTGGACGAATATGCAAGAAAAGATGGGAGAACTAGGCAAGTGCAACTAACTTCCCTGCGTACTGCATCCTAACGCACTTTCTACTCATGTTAATTCTGGCTGACAGATCAAGAAGAAATGAAACAGATGAATTGATAAATTTGTCGGAAAAAGAGGACTTTTCAAAAAACATAGTTCTGAATTTTAAGAGAAGCGCCATATTTTTTAGTTGAAGAAAATGATTTAAGGGGCTTAAAGGACAAGGCGCATAAGTAAAGTTTCTAAAAAATTGAGATGTTAATGATTAAAAATAGAACAAGTCTTAACGCATATTCTGTGAAAATTTCGATACAAAATCCCAATTTTTAAGCATCAAAAAGCCAGTTTGAACTTTGTTTCCGCCATGAAGATCCATGAACTTCCGCAACTTCCAACACGTATATTTCTCAAAATAGTAAAAACTGCACTTATGCGCCTCGCACTGCAAGCCCCTCATATGAAGATGCGGTGCTAAAATCATAGGGTAAAATTTGGATTGCATTTCACCTCCCGCATCTATTTTGCTCCCAAAAACCAGAGTAAAATGAATATAGGGCAATAATCGCACCTCAAGGGCGGAGTTAACTCCGCAAAAAGAGCAGATTTCGATCCACACTCACACTCAAATCACTCAATACACTCTGGATTTCTCTCCGAGATTTTTTACAGTGCATTGAGAATTTTTGTTTGCAAAATTCGCGAAGTCACCCTTGGGCAACACCATATTTAGATGAACGTGACGTGGTAATGTGGCGTACCAAATCGTTACACGTACGATCTTTTTAACCTCAGTACATGGTTCGAATTTCATTGGGTCGGTGAAACCGCATAAGAACGAGTCTCAGTTTGCGATCCTACAGGCTCCTTGGCATTATTTATTTTTCGAATGGAAAAATACTCATCTCATTTGTCGACAACATCTCTATTTTTCCCCCGCATGTGAAGAAGATCCTGGGGGCGAATTTTAATAGTTTTAATTCATTTTCCTTTGATAAAATAAAATCGTAACGGATAAACACTGCAAACTACATTCCCGTTTTTGTGGTTTCACCGTCAATTTGTGCCGACTGAAGGCGCAATCAATTCTGTTACCTAAATAATCTCTTGTTAATATGCGGGAATAATTTCTAGCAATTAATTTTCGCAGTCAATGCCACCCTCAATGCTTCTAATTGTTAAATTTGCAGGATTCTGTGCACAGAGGATTATGATACGCCAGAAAATCTGAAGAGACACCTTGGGAACGCAACGAAACCAGGAGCTCACATTCCATTTTACTTCTATCTTGTTAATGCGAACTTGGAGCAGAGAATGAATTCAACTCTTTTGAATAACCTTGTCCTTTCAATGAAGAACAATTTCCCACAGAATTCCTTCAATTGGGTGGTATGTAAAACTTTTGCTTTTACAATTTGCCTACATGAATCACTAAATACAAAAAGGGCACATGTCCAGCTAGAAAACCAAATTGTTCAGGAGACACAAAAAACTGTTTATTTCGTGGTAGATATTTTTTGGAAAGTCGTTATGTTTAAAAAAAACCGGCGCCCCGCTTTGCCCCGCGCCGGTATTTTTAAACATAACGACTTTCCAAAAAATATCTACCACGAAATAAACAGTTTTTTGTGTCTCCTGAACAATTTGGTTTTCTGGACATGTGCCCTTTTTGTATTTAGTGATTCACTTGTCCAAGAGTAGGTAATCTCCATCCATAAGGATAATCCTCGGCGTAGTACAAGAATTGAAAATTTCAGAATTATAAAGTAATATGTTTGTAAGTTAGAGGGAAAGGTACAATTTTTATACAAATATAGGCTCATGTTAAGACAAATCCGAACTTGAACCCCTCTGATTTGGCTTTTTGACAAGCAGGGTCTTTACATCACATTAAAAGACGAAGTGCCATCTAGTGGATTGGTGTGCTTTGCAATATATCGATTGATCTGTCATTTAAACATATTGAAAAGGATCGGTAGACAGGGTGTTCGCAACGAACGCTTTTAAAAATCGATTCTTTACCATAGCTTCTAATGGGAAAATATCGATCAATCCGCGAGTTTGAGTATCAGAGCCAAACACAGTGCGGACAGCGCGAACTGCGTATTTGCGCCTACAAGACTGCAGGAATACTTCGAGCATTGCACGTCCGCGCAGTGCGTGAAGTATCCATGTATAACCTCAAATAAGGAAATACCGAAAATCGATCACTCATGCCTTGACATTGGTGTCATCATGGAAAGCCAAAGAGAGGAAAGTCAAAAAGAGTGGAAATGGCAAATCTTCATGGGTCAGTATGACAGGAGCGTCGGAGAGGGAAATCCTTCAAATTCTTTGAATGAAGTAAAAACTACGTATACTTTCTATGATAAGCTGGAAAAAAAGATACAAAAAATCGTAATTTAGAGACAAAAAAAAAAAAAAATAAATCATTTCAATATTAATAGTAAAATTAGTTTTGTTGGATAGTGAGCCTTCACATAAAATTTATCGAATATCACACCTCTTAACCATCTGATTTTGATTGGATTAGTTGATAACAATAAAGAAAAATTCTTGCACTTCTTCTGTGTTGCCCTTTACTAACTTTTTATCGTTCAATGCAGCTAGATAACCACGACAGGGTGAGAGTAACTTCTCGGTTTTTCCCGGAAAGCGTTGACTCGTGGCTGATGCTGGTTCTCCTACTGCCAGGAGCGGTGAGCATTTATTATGGTACAGAGATTGGCATGGAGAATTCAAAGATGGGTCGTGACCAACATCCTCTTGACGGCCATGGACAAATAAATTATAATGACGACTCAAGAACCCCTATGCAATGGGACGACACAGAAAACGCAGGTGAACATAGATCATAGAGTACATAGAGTCGTAATGTAATTGGGAGAGCTGGCGCCACTTTTAAGCATTTTCCATGTCCCGAATTCCGAGACTCCTGTGTGACGCCGGGTCACTTTTTCGATACATAATCGATTGTTTGCGATACACGGGTACCCGGCCATCCGATGACAACAACAACAACAACGAAGGAGATAGGAATCACCATGTATTCCACACCGCCATTTTGGATCGAAAATGTATCGAAAAAGTGACCCGAACTCGGCGCACACCGGGCTCGGAACTCGTCGAGCAGAACATGGCGCCAGCTCTCCCATTTACATTACGACTCTATGTACTCTATGACATAGATCACTAGACAAAGTGCCATTTTAAACATTACGATATACTGTATGTTTTCTTATTTAAATTTCACGTAGAAAACAGTATGTGCATCGGAAACTACTGGAAGTAACTCCTGACCAAGAGTTAACGTTTTCCGATGCATAAATTCAAACTTCCCGCTCACGAAAAATAATAATCTACCACAGAGCTATAGAGTCTTAATGTAAGTGAGTAGGGATCTTAAGCTGGCGGCGCTACTTTTAAGCATTTTCCAGGATCCGAATTCCGAGACTCCTGTGTCACGCCAGGTCACTTTTTCGATACATAATCGATTGCTTTCGATATAAGGGGACCCGATCATCCGCCTTAAACAAAGAAGAAAAGAATTTGTACGTATTCCTCACCGCCATTTGGATTGAAAATACATCGAAAAGCTCGGCGCACACCGGGGTCGGAACTCGTCGACCAGGACATGGCGCCAGCTCTCCCATTCACATTACGACTCTATTGCACACTGAGAAAAAACTATGGCTTATAAACCTATTAGTGGTAAATATGGAACACCACTAATAGTAGTACCTCTACATATAATAATAGCACATATACCTTAGTTATGGTCTCTGTACCTTAATTAGGTACAGAGACCTTAGTATGGTTCACAGACCGAGAATCATTAGTTTATTTACGACTATTATAGGTGTTCCATATTTACCTCTAATAGGTTTATAAACCATAGTTTTTTCTCAGTGCAGTCTCAACCTCGGCGATTCGGCCAGCTGTTGACATTGTTTACTTTGTTGATTTTGAACAACACAGGGCGGCGATACGGGCTGGACACAAGTTCAAAAGGAAGCTTCGAAAGGGTGGCTGTTTAGCCAAGTGTTGCCATCGATTATCGCATCTATGCGCAACACTTGATTAAACAGCCACCACTTTGAAGCTTCACTATAATAGAACACTGCTCGATTTGCCTAGACCGAGACCGCTGTAGTGTGCTATTTGATTTAAGAACACTCTGGGGCCGACTTTTTTCGGTCTACCGTACTTCAATATACTAAGAACGAGTCTCAACTGCACTTAAGTTCAGATTAGCGCTTTTGATTGGTTGATGGTGCGGTTTGGAATTGATTAAGTGATAATCTTAATAAATAAAGTGCGTGATAAAAGGTTTAAATCGTAGCCCCTTACACTTTTTCCAGTCAAGATAAAAAAGGAGTTTCCAAATATCCTATCATTAAATCTAAAATTGGAGTTTAATTACTCATATCCCTGAATTGCTTAAAAAATAACTTCCTAACAAGATAGATATCATTAACCTAATCTCTGTTTTTCTAATCTGTTTATTATTAGTTCATAATGTGCCCATGTTATACAAAATCCTAATATCAGTAAAATTAAAGTATTTAGGAATGATATATCTATAAATCTCATTGGAATAACTTTGTAGGGGGGTCAAATAGATCCTATCCTTATATCTTGTCCTTACCACTTATTTCTATCCCTTACACTCGTACATACTTTCCTTTTTTATATTAATGAAAATAAATTATGTTTCGGTCTACTATTCAGGTTTTACGTCAGGTAGAAATACATGGCTACCTGTCCATCCAAACTACTGGCGGAAAAATGTGAAAACTCAGGAGCAAGATCCCAAAAGCCACCTCAACATTTTCAAACGTCTAGTGGCATTGAGAAAATCACCTGTTATTACACACGGAGACTTTGAAACATACACGCCTAAAACTTGGGTTTACATGATTACCAGGTATGATTCTGAAAAACTAGCAAAGATATCTTGATAAAAACCTTATTCGTTGGCGTTCCTCGTCAACTACTACTCACTCTTATCAGCTCTTTGATCCCCTAAATTTTCATTTTCGGTAATAGTTCGTTACACCGTTCTACTGGACCGATCTCCATGATTTGTACGGCTGTCGACAGGTAATAGTCCCTGAATGTATGAGCCCGCTTTATTTAGATTTTGGAAGTATGACCCAGGTCTTTACATGTTGCGTTTTAAAGTTTTGTGAAAGCCTCCTATTTAAACAATTCAAATTTTCATTGTTTGTCATAGTTCGTTCTGGCGTTCTACTTGGTCGATTTCCATGATTTGTTTGGTTATTTGTGGGAGAGGGAGATAGTCTTTAGAAGAGCCCGCTTTATTTAGATTTTGGGAATGTGTCCCAGATTTTTGATATCAGGCATAGGCCGTAGAAATAATCAAACTGAGGGGCAATGGCAGTATGCAAAATTTGAAATTCCCGCCAAGCCTTGGCAGAAAAAAAACGAAACAAAAGATATTGAATTTTGGTATGTTTTTAGGTTCGCTCATATAATTCAATTTTAGAACGGACAGCCGGATACAGCGATAGGGTACCGGTACCTTATTTATCATTAACCCTATTGCCTTGCTTATTACTCCGGTCTACTTATATATCAATAATCAACCACATCATTTTAATATTTCAGGTCCATCGAGAGTCAAATTATTGTAGTATTGATGAACATTGGATCGAGTGTTGAACATGTTTGCCCGAAAGAAACGATCTCAAGGTTACCTGATAAGATGTTCGTTTACACTGGTAGTGTTAACTCTGGTTTTAACATTGGGTAAGAACTTCCTCTTAAATAGAAATCAGTCCATTGATTTTTTAAGTCATTCGGAGCGTTATTTGTATACTTAATATAAAAGTAGTAATATTTCGACGACAAAAAATTGTGTTAATTGGTTCATCTTTGAAAACAAATAATGAGTCTACTTTCAGAAATAATGGACTTGAGGTAACTGGTACTACTATTAGTACTGTATATAAGTAGTACTTTATAATTATACTTTAGTACTACTATTTACTAAAATTTACTTTATTTTTCTATATTCTTTGTTCGATAATTTGATACCAGGCATATTCTCTGGCGTTTTACAGGGATGAAGTGATAGTCTCCAAGTCGGACAATACGAGGTGTGTTACAATGAGGCCACAATCAGGCTTGGTGTTGAGCACAAGCGTGGTACAATAATCACTTTCTCACCCAATTTCCTGGTCCTTCCAGTTGTGCCGAAAATGACTTGGTAAAAGCATCAATTGGGCAGGAGTTGTGCTATACTATGATGGTGGAGAACTCTAAATACTTGGTCTCTATTAGAGGTGTGCGCGTGTCACGAAGTAACTCGGGAAAGAAGCAACCAACTGACCTACACTGGAGGGAGAACCATCACGTCTAAAATAGATTTTTCGACGTTTTCAGCCATACTTTCAGTCAAATAAAAGTTCCCCTTACCACAAATCTCTGAACTGTTGTAGATTTACGTGATTTTATGCGGACTAATTTTAAGAGGGTCTCAATGTCAAATTGTAAAGTGATTATAATTTTCTGTTTATGCAGCGCTTGTACAGGCGCAAGGCTGCTACAAATTTTCCGCGCCAAATAGAAATTAAAAAGAATGTTAATTCTTGTAATTTTTCGTGTTTAAAAGATCGTAAATTGAGTTTTGATTTGGAAGCAACTATATTATAATAACATAATTAACTCGCTAAGAAGTTGGTCACCAGGCTATACGTTCGTTTGTTTTGGTTTTAACCCTCACAAATCAATCATGCAATACATGCAGAAATGTACGTACTATTCTCCTCTTTCCTCCATTTTCAGAGGATTGAGAGAGGGATAAAGAGAGGGGAAGGAGGAACTTTCAGAGAATTTCAGAGTTTTTCAGAGATTTAATTTTAGAAAAATTAACATTAAATCATATAAACTAAGAGGCGTAGTGACAATAATCAAACGTCTTTTAAAGAATTCTTGAAATCCTGCAATGCTGCGAACCTAAATACGGGGTCTCGTAAGTTCACCATTAAGATGTATAAGATCATTTCTATGGCTATGTTCATCATTAGAGGCTATGCCTATAAGTGTCTAATACATTCGGTTATGTTTATTCTGTGTCTATTCTGTTCTAAGTCGATTCTGTAAGGTTGTCTGTGTGGCTTCGTGTCCATACAGTGCAGCTATGTCTCTTGCTATGTCTATGGCTGTGTCTAAAGCTAAGTTTCTCATATGAGGGGTATGTCTATGACTATCTCCTTGGCCATGGAGGTATCTATTTTAATCTGAAATGTCTGATTGGTCAGTGCATGACATAAATCACTACCTCTAGTCAGTTTCGGCGAATATGGCTTGGAGACTTGAACGCTGAGTAAAGAAAGAAAACCTTGGAATTCTGCCTATATGAATACAGTATTCTACATACTTTTACGTCACATTTTGAGAGGACGAGGGGGGGGGCTTCTTAAATGCTGAGTTACAAAATATATCACGAGGGGGAAATGAGCTCGATCACGTCACACGAACTATCAAAGAGCACTTGTAGAGTTTTTTTTTTTTTTTTTTTTTTTTTTTTGCAAGAAAACAAAAATGTCTATACATTCATTTGGAAAATACATTATAACAGTTGTAATTTCTTCTCCAGATTGCACCAGCAATAATTATTTGCTGTGAGCATTAAATTTTAATTTCTTTCTCCTTTTTACGAGGGCTGTCCCAAAAGAAACCGGACTTTTGTCATAGAGGGCGAACCGAGCGTCGTAATGAAGTTTTCTTGGGCTTGTTTGAAAGCTGATAAGCTACTGAAGATGCTTGTTTTTACAGAATGCAAAAATTCGTATTGGTAAGGAAACTACACGCTTTGGAATAAAGGAAAGTC